TGCCGTGGGAGGGAGGGGGCTCGCCCGGGAACATTCCTCCTTCCTGACAGGTGTGACTTCCCGGAGCTCAGAGAGGATGAGCCACAGCCCGACAGACGGGATCGCCTCCACGAAGCGCCCAGGCCCGTGGGGACAGCGGGGCTGGCCAGGCCGCAGGGGAGCCTGCAGGGCCCGGGAAGGCGTCCTCTTGTGGGGGTGCTGGTGTTTGGGTCAGAAGCCCCAACCCCACGCGACCTCGGCTTTTTGCGGGGCGGACGTCCACCGAGATGGGCTATGCGGTCGAGTCACCCATCTTGGTGACTCAGAATCTTGCCACACTTAGAGCCCAGTGAGGAAGGCCCTCTTCACTCTGTGGATAGGTGGCAGCGTCAGCGAGTCTGCTGAGGGCTGAGTTCACCTCTGCCCCAAATGAATGAATGGCCATGGTCATGGGTCACCTGCCTTCCTCTATGTAAATCCTAGGGAAGCAGTTCTGGCTGGATAGAATGGAGCATGACTGTGTGGTACCTACTAGTATCTGACAGGCGGACACGATGAACCTCAGGCGGAATGTGGGTAAAGAACTGAAAAGGTTGGATCCAAGGAAGAAGGCAAAGTGGCACAGGGTGTTCATCAATGTGCAGTGACCGAGGATCCTGAGGTCCCACCGCCATCTACCAGCCTGGGGCTGGGGGGACACACACAACGGAGATCTCTTTACGGTTCCACAGGCGAGGCCTCCGGCGGCAGAGGGCTCGGTGCCGGTGCCCACGTGCAGTGGTGTTTTCATTAGCCCTGGCTGCCGGGCTAGGAGACGCATCGCTGGCCTGTCTTCACGGCGCTGCGTCCCCCTCCCCCTTGTCTTTATAATGCTACAATGAACATTGGGGTTGTATATATCTTTTTGAGTTAGTTTTTTCTTTTTCATCAGAAAAATACCCAGAAGTAGCTCCGTCGACGCGGCCCACGGTAGGCGTCGCCCGCCCGCACGTTCAGTGGAAACGGTGCCCCTTGCGTTCTGCCAAGCGCTGTGGCTTCTGAAGCGGAAGCTGGGCCCCAGCCGGGCGGCGAGTTAAATTCACCCCCGGGAAGCGAGTGGGTGTCAGGGAGGCGCTGGGCCCGCTAGGACAGCGCTAAGGAGGCGGCCGGACGGCGGGGGCCGC